GTATACCCCTGCTCCTGCAGCAATTGTATTATTCGCAACCATTTCCACCATTGCTCTAGCATTAGTAGGATGCAGCCCGACGCCGTAATCAAATGCACTATGATTGCTGCTCACGCTGCTGTCAACCGGTGAAGGTGTGCCTATGTTGACAAAGTCGTTACAACCACTTACAGCATTAGCGTCCGCAGAAGTTGCGGCAGCTGCGTTTGCCACTACGGCAGCGGCTGCAGCAGACACATTGATATCAGGACACGACGATCCGGGCAGCGAACCACTCGGGGATGAACTTGTTCTTATATTGGTTATAGGGACCGCCGCCGACTGTTTAAACATAAACGTAGATCACTGAAGACGCGGCCAATAATTTGTGCTAGTTAAATCACTGGCGCTTTGTGCGGGTATTTGCACAGGTACGGAAACGCCCGCTGAGATAACACCTGGAAATGTATGGCTATCTGCAATTTAAATAATTCAATTTGATATTCAAAACTAAATAGAGAATATATTATATTATACATAATGTGTAATCGTATCAGTAAACTATTTATAATATAGTTCAAATACTAAATGAATTAATTCCAAGCCGTATGTGTGTATGTCAAATTCAAGAGAGCAATTGAGAATTTTTAGCGAACTAATAATGCCTTAACAATGCGTCTATGGTTAAGCTATTTGTAGAGTTCTAGGAGTAGCACCCGTTAGTGGCTGACGTGAAAACGCTGCCAGTACGATACGGTTAAGATATACAGTTGACGTGAATACGCTGCCAATAGAGATATATACGGCTGACGTGAAAACGTTGCCAATACGTTACGGTTTAAGATATACGGCTGAAGTGAAAACGCTTCCAGTATAACATTTAAAAATAAAGCTACCTGTGTAACGTAGAACTATTCGTGGTGTCCATTGCTTGCGCTTTTGGATCTCAATATTATAGAAGAGACCCATAACCCTGCTATAAACCGGAGAACCGGTTATGTTAAAAAATGTAATTATTTTTAATAATTTAGTGCGCATATTTTAGTCAAAATCAATCTTTTTAAATAAAAGTGTGCTCCTTTCTCAAAAATTTGTTAAAAAACTAAATCCATACTTACTTAAAGACCAAAGCTTGTGGATCATAAAGCTTATTATTTACCTGTTCTAGGTTCCATCCTTTAGAAAGAATCGGTCCTCCCGTGGTTTAAATAATGGACTTTAACAACGCCATTTTGTAACCAAATTAATAATTACAAAATATTTTTTAAATTTCAATAAATATTCAATAAAATGGTTAAATAGAAATTCTGTTTCTTTTCCCATACTTCTAAAATAAATTTTTTAAAAATGATTCTATCTTTCAAACTCTTGAGTTACTTTACCCCTTAAGTCGGTTGCAATGAAAAAGACTTGTATTGAAGGAGTATACGCTTGGTATCTCCCTCAATATTGAAGAGGCTTTCAACAACTTTCTTTCGGTATTCGTAATATAGGCTGAATTGGGTCTTCGACAGCCCATAGTGAGTCTTGTAGAGTTTCTTTTAAGAAATAGGATCATCTTGGCAGAAATGGGGAGCGTCAGAATTACGAGGCAAACAATAAGAGGCATACCTCAAGAAGGAGCTTTATTGCCACTGCTGTAGTGTCTAACAGCAAATATACTGATTAGGAAACTGAACTGCACAGGCAGTGGTGTGCTGACATGCGCCGGCAACTTTTCCCTAACAACGCCTAACAAATGTAAAGCGATCTACTCCAATATTCTCTATATATAGTTGGGAACTGATGCCAGGATAGCGGGCTGCGAGCTCAACCTTGGAAGTCTCGAAGCAATGAATAGAATCCTATGTTTACCTCTGCCTACGGCAAAGTATTCATATGATTTAACCGGCCTTTGCTGGGGTAGCAGCGTTAAGATGGCAGAACGAGATCACGTACAACGTGACCGGTACTTTAACGCAAAAATAATCGCTGTCTCGTGGTTTCAAGTACAGGACTGTATCAGCCAAGCTTAGCTATCAAATCAAACACGTTTTATTTTTGCCTTAAGCATGTATGAAAATGGATCGCTTAGTATTCACACAATGCGCTAAAGTTGTTAAAACCTACTAAAAAAACTTTAAGCCGAGACTAGAGTCTAGATTTATTAGCTTTATTATATTATTAATTTTATAAAAATGTATAAGCTGTTGTATATTATGCTATGTCTTCCACATATTAAGCAATTGGGAAGTGAGTCTAGGATCGACTCATTGGTTCGAGTCCGACTTTATGGAAGCAAAAGTGTTCCCAATGAAAATTTTGGCTTTAAGCTACTACTGCACGATCCACTTACCGGAAGCAAAAATGTTCCCTATATCAACTTAGGGAAAGAGTTACCTGTGTTCCATTTTTTTTTTTTTTTTTTTGAATTGGGCGGGTTGATTCCTCAATCATTCAGAACATACGCCTTTCATAAATATGAGTTATGTACATAATCGTCCAGCTACCCAAGCAATTCATACTATTTTAAAAAAATTGTAAGAGATGGGATGGATGAATTGCTCGTTTGACCTCAAATATCGCTGTAAGTCAAAGACCCCAATATATCTACTTTTCAAGAGCTAAGACTTGTCACACATTATGACGAATTTTGACTTACGCCTACATCCTTCAATATAAAGTCCAGGTCATACTACAAATGAAGCTAGCTGACTATCGAGACACATTTTTCACTATGAAGATACGAGAATATGCAAAATTGTCACATTTGGAGCTCCGTGAATTTTCAATTAATTGAAGAGAGGCCATTTTATCCAAAAAAGCTAATTCTAGAAAACGACGACGGCGAGACTTTTCCTGTCATTCGGAGTGTTATGGTCGTATGATAACCTACATTTTGAGTTGTGATTGAAGAGCACGATGTGAACAATTTGCGGTTTCAATAAGATGAAAAACCAATTTTATGAAAAAAAATTTGAAATGAATTTTATTTACGTTTCTGAAACAGCAAAATGGATATTCTTGTACATGTAAAAACAACCTTGTAAATAGTATGTAGAAAGTATCGTCTTAAAGACAAGGTTTGATATGAATATAAAAGGCTGACTTTGATCTTAAAGTTTGTTTTAAACTTGGGCGCTTCCAGAAAAAAATCAACTTGGTAAATAAAGGAGACACAAATGTTTATATAAACATAGTTATAGACAAGTTGCAACGTTGTGTGGATGAAAACATACAAATGACACACCCGCATTTCGCTAACGATTTCTACTGTTAGAAAGGGTTGAAAATACAGCTGACTACATGTCGGCACTACGAGCATAAGATTTGCTCACTGGTATAACATGGCAATCACGTTCTTGAATGTTTCTACTATAAGAGCCCACATGAGAAACACATACGATCAGCAAACAAACCTTTCAGTGCATGTATCAACGGGACTTGCACGGAATGAAATAGTGCGCATTCATTTGTAGAGTTCTAGGAGTAGCACCCGTTAGTACCGAGTACATACATTTAACATCCAAAACCAATTGTCACACAACGCAGTGCAAAAGTTTTATCTGCTAATACTTTTACTGTGCAAACGGTCAGTTAATGACTCGGTTTATATTATATAACAGCCGACTGCAGGCAAATTTTTGATTTATGGTTCTTTCATTCCTTGTATTATTGAATAACGCAGATGTAGGTGTAATATTCTCGACTAATAGCAGTTATTAATAATTACAATAATAATAAGAGCATTTCGGCCGTCGAGGTGATTTTGTTTAATTTAATATAAAATACACACATATGTACGAGTATGTATATTTCAGATAACAATTTTTCGTTAACTTAATCGCTATTTGTGGCTTTCCATGAATTAAAGAAAATAAAATGTGTTGAATTTGTGAATTTTAAAAACTTTCCTCTTCACCAGCTCCAATTTGTTTTCATTGTTATCTATTTCGATGGCTGATATTGTTTTTGTAAAGCTATGTGTACTGCTAGAGGGTCTGGTGGGTTAGAGTGTTTGCCTTTCCTAAATCTTCAATATGTATGTATGTATATACATTACGGTATCCGTTATAAAACCATGATGGTTTGTTTTCATTACAGTGGTCTCTATTTAAAATTCAGCTTTTTCCATCATAAAATTTTTAATAATTCATGAAGATTTTTGAAGAAGAATTGATGTTAAAATTAAGAGATGTGCATGTTATTAAAAAAAAAATTGGACACCCAACAAACAAGTTTACCGATTTTTTAATAGATTCACTCTTTCAAAATTTATCATACACATGCAATTTATTGTTTGTTAAGAAACACTGCAACAACCATTATCACTAACTTGTATATTATATACTTGAGTGCCTTTCAAAAAGAATAAATGTATCAAAAAATGTGATAAGACCTACTTTGTAGGGTGGTTCATTTTCTATTCCTCATAATTATAAGTATACTTGCTCATGCGAAAATAAAATATAATATATGTCAAGCTTTGCGAGTATATTCCTGACGTGAAATAGAGGCTCCTCTGGAAAATCCATGGGTCATTCGGAGGCGGCTTAGAATAAACACTGTTGGTCTCTCCATTTGTTAGCAAACACATCTAGACCCCCACCATAAATTGCAGGAGAAGTCGGCCAGAAATCGCTTCAGCGGTTAAAAGGTTTATAAATATATAATCTTTATGGTATACGTGTATGTGTCGTTTTAAAGCCAATGGTCAATATGAATTATTTTCGTGTTTTTTATTTCAAGCTATGAACATAATAAAAAACTTGGTAAATAACGGGCACCCTAATGTACATTCATATGTGTTAGCATATATGTATTTTTGATATTTCGACATAAATAACATATACGAGTATGTATATGTATGTATTGATATACTTAGAACTCGTATGTTTGTTGGTAGTTGTTAAACTGTTTATTCGGTAAATTTGAGTTTTTTGTTAATGGTAGATGTGGGAATGTTGTTGAACTACTTGATGGGGATGATGATCCTGGGAGTCTGCATGTAAATTCTGTTGGAAATGGAAATGTTGAGGGTATTGCATTGGATGGTGCTGTTTCTGCTTGTGTGATTGTATTTGCGGCTGTCTGTGATGTTGGGTGACATGAGCGGGTAAATGTTGCTGTTTTTGTTGTAAGTGATGCAATTGCTGACATTGATGATGCGGATGGTGGGTGTAATGAGGGTGTGAATAGGGATGATATTGTTGATTATGCTGCATAACTCTTTGCATGTCCTGTTGTTGTTGTTGTTGTACAGTTAAAATTAGCGTCGGCGGCAGAGCAGCTGGTTTTGGTGTTGCTAAAATAGCCGCTGTCGCTGACCTTGGGTATACCCCTGCTCCTGCAGCAATTGTATTATTCGCAACCATTTCCACCATTGCTCTAGCATTAGTAGGATGCAGCCCGACGCCGTAATCAAATGCACTATGATTGCTGCTCACGCTGCTGTCAACCGGTGAAGGTGTGCCTATGTTGACAAAGTCGTTACAACCACTTACAGCATTAGCGTCCGCAGAAGTTGCGGCAGCTGCGTTTGCCACTACGGCAGCGGCTGCAGCAGACACATTGATATCAGGACACGACGATCCGGGCAGCGAACCACTCGGGGATGAACTTGTTCTTATATTGGTTATAGGGACCGCCGCCGACTGTTTAAACATAAACGTAGATCACTGAAGACGCGGCCAATAATTTGTGCTAGTTAAATCACTGGCGCTTTGTGCGGGTATTTGCACAGGTACGGAAACGCCCGCTGAGATAACACCTGGAAATGTATGGCTATCTGCAATTTAAATAATTCAATTTGATATTCAAAACTAAATAGAGAATATATTATATTATACATAATGTGTAATCGTATCAGTAAACTATTTATAATATAGTTCAAATACTAAATGAATTAATTCCAAGCCGTATGTGTGTATGTCAAATTCAAGAGAGCAATTGAGAATTTTTAGCGAACTAATAATGCCTTAACAATGCGTCTATGGTTAAGCTTATATAGTATTATACCTGTACTACTGGATGCACCTGCTGGGCCTGAGCCGTAAACGGAGGTATGCTGTGGTGGTGGCTGTTGATGAGCAGCGGCAGGGTTGCACGATGGACGCGCATGTGATGCATATGACACCGAACTAAGTGTAAGTGGATCATGAAACATGTATGGGTAGCTATCGCGCTGCTGCAAACATGTAGAGCTCATCGAGTTTAGCGACGAGGTCATCGAGCTGGTAAAAGTAAAATATTAGCTAAAATATTAATTGTATGTAGAAAAAGAGAAAATATAGAACTTACTTGTAATTCTCCGCCATAGTTGCGATGGGCTGTGTTATCGATGAGTACATTGTATTGAAACCAGTATTCAGGGGAAGGCGGGTTGCAACAGCTTGTAAGGGCGGACTCACTGAGCTACCATGACCACCGATATTAACAGAAGCGACTGCTGCTGCATCACCCAGAGTTGGGATGGCTGCAACACCGCTTCCACTTGTTCCCGGTAGTGCTGCCGCCGATGGTGCACTCGTTCCTTCACCGTTAGAGCCCTCAGCCGCATTAATATCTGCTGCGGCACCACCGCCCACTGCCACTCCACCGATTCCATTGGTCGCTCCACTGTGATTGCTGACCACGGCGGCAGCAGCTATTGTAGTTGAAGTTCCCGTATTTGAGCGGCCGCCGGAACCGCCGTTAGTGTTTACATGGTCGGCAGTGCGCCGTTGAGTTCTCAATTTTTCTTCCCGACGCCACTTTGCTCGTCGATTTGAAAACCAGACCTGTTAGAAATAGATTTTTATTGTAGATTAAGAGCATGACGAATACAGCATAGAAATAAAAATAACAAAAAAATTGTTTAACTATAAAGAAATATGTTTTCCAAATAACTAAATATAATTAAAATCGTATCACAAAAAATTATTGTAACTTGTTAATAGAACCGTGGATCAGAATTATTTTTTATGAAAGCGTTCATTTTACTATTTCATATAAAAACATTCGAGTAGTAAGCTTCTTCTTACATGATTTAATTATAATCATTGTTTATGTGTGTAACCCTGTGTAGCTATATAACGCAGCAACAACTCCGGTGAGTACTCTTTTTCTTAAATTTTGAAATAAATGCTTTTGTGGTACATCTGTACATATGTATAACTTAGCTCCTGTATTTTAAATATTGAGCCACTAGGCATAGCAATATTAGATATTCTAAATTTGCAGCTTTTAAAATAAAGGCACCTTCCTAGAGCCCCGCTTCCGGAATTCACGAAGAATTTCGATTTCGATCAATCTCGAAGAGAAACATAATCCTTCGAGACGGATCTTAGGAGAAAGCCAAACTTATAGTTTATTAATTTTTTTTACGTAAAAATCTCATTTAGAATATTCTGAAGTGGAAATAATATGTTCTCTTAAGAATAATCAAAATGATTAAATCATCTCTGCTACTCTTTCTAAGTCGGTAAATTTGTTAACAAAGAAAATGGAAAACACACAACTCTTCTCAGCTTCAATTCAAGCTGTTCGGAAAGGAACAGTCAAAAAGGAACAGTTGTGAATGTGAACGGCGGCCATATCCGAAAAACATATTTTCTTTGGACAAAATTAGCAGGAGTGGGAGCCGAAAAAATCAACCAGCAACCAGCATCCAGAAAGAGTTGCTGGAAAATAGGTAATTCGGGTGGCATCAACAAGAAACCAGGTAAGTAATTTAAGAAAAGTACAATACTATATTTTACCAAGTATTTGTATATATATTCTACTAGTTTTGTGATTACTTTCTAAGTTTTTTATCAGTTTTTATTTTTTCATTTCATCAATCACTTTAAAACTCAGCGCCCTACTAAAAGGCAAGGCAAAAGACCCAAAAAAGAGCACTGGGCACCAGCACTATAAAGTGAAAAAGGTGTTAAAGTAGCGGGTGCACAAGCTTAAAAAAGCGGTAGGCAAAGCGCCCCATTATAAAGGGCGAAAAGAATGAATAAGTAGTGGTCACATAGGCTTCAGAAAAGCAATAAGTAAAGCGCCTCACTTCAAAGTGAGTGTAAGAAAAAGTGGCCGGTCAGGCTTCAGAAAAGCCGTCAGGCAAATCACCCTCCTATATAGTGGATAAAGTGTGTAAAAAGTGGGAGCGCAGGCATCAAAAAAGCCACAGGTAGAGCACAGCCCCACCAAACAGTTAGAAGCGCCGGCCGCAGAGTCATTAAGTCAGGCGCGAGTGCTATACAGTCAGGCGGCAGTACGGGGTAGAACTTTATTTTAATTTAAGCAGCCTCAGTCATACGGCTAAAAGGTGAGGAGCGATTGCTGAATGCCGGTACTAGGTGTCATACGTCCGTGCGGAGATAGGTTACTTTTGTATTTTAAGAAACGAGCACCGGCTGCTGGCCACAAGACAAAGCGCAAGTGCAGTTCGCCGGCAGTGAGATGCCAAAAGATTAGGCGGCAGTGCGACTCAGCATCACGGCCCTACAAAAGCAGCAAAGCCCAAACCAAAGGCGAAAGTACCATACCTACTTGCTCATTTTTTATATATTACCAACTTATTAACACGTATGTGAATTGGTTAGCGGGAGTATTCGAGGCACACCCATTTATAGTTTATAATTTCCAATACAATTTCTTATTGCGGACAATTGGAATACTTTACCTCACTCCTATAATCGGGTGCTGCGATAGTACCATACTTATCTGCCTGTAATAAGCCATTTGCATAATTCTTAAACTTATAAATACGTACGTGACATGGTAAGCGGATGTACCATGCAGTTACTAACGTGTATTTTAAAATTAACAACCGTGAAATTATGGCCTGTGCCTTGGTACTACGGAAGTATCACCCCTAGTATCACTATTTTTATCGAGTTTTCGCGGTATAAGCTAGTGTTTGCTTTGGTACATGAAATATAGCCAATTGCATTTAATTCATTTAACCTTAGTTGAGTATCACATGCTAACTCTGCAAACTTTGCGATTCGTTCAATTGGTTCAATCTACTTTGTTCACTCTAAAGTTTTTAAATTATGGCCTCTGCTATTCATTATCTAAATCACAAGTAAAATGGCAAGCGCTAATGAGTTTTCTGTGGACCTGTGATCACTTTTAAAATTTGAAGAGTTGTATAATAACACTCCTAGTGCAAAACATTCGGTTTCTCGCTAGAAATCCAGAAAGAAGAGCTTGAGGCGTTATCGATAAAAGTAAAGGAGGCATTTGATGGATATTCGCGAATCCTTTCAGGAGGAAAATCGGATTCATCGCAGCATACCTGACGTGTGTGGCATTGATGGGTGAAACCATCCACAACATGACATTTGTGCAACAGACTTCGCCAGCGGTGAATTCTCCATTCCGAAAACCTGAGTCGGCTCCACGTTCGAGTATTATTCTCTCCTCTTACGTCGTCGAAATTTTTTGCGGTGACTATATAGCGTGGCCATTTTCTCGGGATTTATTTACTGCAATATATATTAATAGTTCCCGTTTGACCCCCGTTATACCATCTTAATCAAAAGACTCGAGGAGAAGTCAAAAAATCTCCAACTAATGACGGTTGCAACCGCTTGGCAAAACTTATCTGACCCTTACGAAAATAAAGGAGTCTTGGTAAATACTCAATCAATGATTCTAAGGGAATGAGATCCGCAATTGGAATTCTAATTTTATATTCTTAGTTTCTTGCAGGCTTCCGTATACCACCGTATGACTTTGGGAACAAGGAATAGTAGGCCGAATTTACGAGGTGTGAGGAACTAGATAGCTTTCTCTCAAGCAGGTTCCAGACTCTAGAAACTGTACGCGAGTATCTAAATGAGGACAAAATAGGGCTCCTGTAACATCAAAAAAGTTGTATAGTCACCACCCTCAATTTTCGCATGCGATATTGGCCTGTCCAAAATTTTTAGCCATGAAGGTGGATTACCGAACTAAACAAATAAGGAAGTACAAGTTTTGCATGAGCCGTCACATTCACATATTGCACGCGATTGCAAGAGTTCATTTAGCTGTTTCAGTTGTCAGCAGCGGCATCATTCATTGCTACATAGGACACCGACAGGAAACAAGCCATCGACCACAACTTGTCGTCCTGATAACAGTGGGGATAAAGATACACAATCAACAACTATTTCGTGCAACATTCAGGCACTGTTCGCAACAAATGCAAAAAAAACATTATCATAGGCACTGCGATGGTACACATACTACTGCGAGTAAGGTGAATTTTGAATTTGAGCTTTGCGTATTTAATATTCCGGGCTAATCCATTTTTTAATGTTGGTAGCATTGTTATTGACATCTATGCCAAATTTCATGTCAATGTCATCATTGGTATTTTAGTTACGCTTGTGTTTACTAAACGACTAAGCGGCTGCAAATACGCTTTAAACTACCAACACATACTATGGTATTTTAAATAAGTGGCATCAACTCAACGACACCAACTAACGTACGAGAAGCCACACGTTTGGTTATAGGCTCACAGGGTACATTCCCCAGCTTACTTTATACCAAGTGAATTGAGTCTACTGCCCCCCCAACAAATTTAGCCGATATCAACTTTTATAAAAGTCAGCAGTTTTTTGGTACAGACCTGTACCCAGCGATAATGAACTCGAAAAAGTTCCAAGCAAGAAACCGTTTACACCTGAGAAAGCAATCTGAGAACATCTCTATATAAATACGACAACGAAAGAAAATAATGGAAGATATGTGGTAACAATACCATTTAAGCATGATTTCTCAGTGGATGTTAATCTTGGATATTCTAAAAATAGTGCAGTGCAGCAATTCCTCCGCAGTGTAGCAGCATTTGAACGAAGTCCAGAGCTGAAGACAGAACACCTTGTGTTGCGACAATATATATCGTTCGGGCACATGAAGCTAATGACAATCATGCAGTTCAAAAATCCACGTAGTGTTCAATGCATCGAGTCCATCTTCAAATGATGTAGACCTAAGAGATGTTATCTATGCAGGCCCTGTGTGAAAACATCGAGAATATTTACCGACAGATTTTACAACAGGCGGCTAACACGAAGTTCCATAGGATTATTTTTAGAGATACAGATGAGGAGAAACTCATGGATTTGGAACTTCAAACCGTAACATTTGGAGTCAATTGCGCTCCATACCTAGCGATAAGGACTCTACTTCAACTCGAGGAAGATTTTAGTTTGAAATATCCACAAGGCTCAAGAGCCTTGAAGCAGCAAATATATGTCGACGATTGGCTGGAGCCTTGAAGGAAGCTGGTTTCCTCTTACGGAAATGGTTTGTTAGGCATTCGATGTAATGTAATTATAGTTTCCATTTTAACGTCTAGGATATGGATATCAAACCAAGTTACACGAAGCGCGAAGTACAATCCTGTGTTGGCCGGTTGGTTGGGTCCCATCCTAGTGGAGGCAAAAATACTAATGCAGGATATATGGCTCACCAAGATTGACTGGGATGACACTTTAACAAGAACTACTTGCATAAATCAAAAATTAGAATTCCAAAGTTGATTGGTTCCACGCCTTGAAATGAAATTGAGTTTCATGGTTTCTGTGATGCCTCCGGAAACGCACATGTAGCAGCTCTATATGTGAGAGTGCATGATCGCACATTAGATAGAGCTCCCGAGATACACTTGTTTGTAGGTAAAACCCAAGTAGCACCCGTGAAAACATTTTCTCTACCGCGCTTAGAATCATGTGGTGCGCTACTACTAGCAGAACTAATTAATTCCTTACTCCCACAGCTCGACATTGCAGAACCAGTTGTCTATGAATGGAGG